AGAATCATGCACGGTGAAAGTAATGGCCAAAAGTTCGTACCATGTACAAATCGGCAATTAAAGCGTTGGTACTTCTCGACTCTGATTGCTATGTTGGTTGTTACTGGTATACCCTATATTGTTTTTCTATGTACTAAATGAATTTTTAAAAAAATCTTTATTTATAAAACTTACTTTATAAACTTCATTGTTTTCATTTTCATAAGGAAAAGAAAATTATTAATTCATACTTTTCAAAAATTGTAAATTATAATGATTACTTTTTTTAAATTAATCTATTTTTTTTTTTTTTTTTTTAATATATTACTTTATTTAATATTTATTTTTTATTATATTTTATAATTTTAGATTGTTTTTATTATTATTATTTTTTTTATATTAGAAATTTTTTAAATACTATTCCTTGCATATCCCATGTCATATTTTCAATTCTCTTTTTTACAGGGTATTTAGTAGTGCACTTCCTGCCCAGAGCAAGCGCTTTGTTGTTTGGGCATTTCTTTAGCCAGATACAGTAGAGATTAATCATCAGTTGGTTAGTCTTTGAGTCATTCGTTTCCCTAGTTGCCCTGTATTAATTTATTTTATTTTTATTTCTTTCTCTTTTGACTTTTCCGTATTGCATATTTGGCCGAAACAGTAAGAACGCATGCACTTTGTACCTGCCTTCCAATCCCCTCTCCTCCTATTACTCAAGCGTACACACACACTATCTATCGAAATATTAAATTATTTATGCACATGGCTTATAGCCACGCCCCCTTGTCAGCCCACACGCATTTAAAGACAATTGCTGCAGCCGCGACTGCGACAGCGCTGCCAGCGTCGCCGTCAAAGTTACTCATATGAAAAATATCTAATAAGAAAACCAATAAACTGCATGAAGAGCAAACTCAGCTGACGGCTGCGTAGTCGACTACGACGCAGGCACCGAAACGCAGCGCAACGGGTTATATGTGCATATGTATGTGTGTGGGGGCGAATGCGAAGTGGAAGTAAAAGAGAAATACATCCAAACGGACATACATACATATGTACATATATACGTAAGTGTTCGTGTAAACTTACATTTGTTGTTGCTTCCAGGCAATTTAGCGTACTTTGTTGTCGTGGGTGCTGTTGAAGATGTTGTTGTTGTGTATTTTGTAGCTGTTGTTGTATCAGTTGCTGCTGCTGCGCGGCAAGAGCACCACAATCCATATTACGACGTCCCAAGCAGGAGGCAGGAGCAGCAATTGGTGTATAACAAATCCAATAACAAAGGAACTGCAGCTGTAGCTAAAATGGACGTGATCCGATTTAACGGCGCTTGTCCGCTCTCCTCTTATTTTTTCCTTAGCGTACTCTTTACAAGTCTCACACTCTCTCTCTTTACCTTGATACGTATATATGTATATCGCGCGCGCGCCCGCTTTTGATCAGTTTGGCATAAATTTGCGACTGCGTTTTGAATTACAATGCGATGTGGGATTGCAATTGGAATTGGAATAGGAAACCCGTTGCACTTATTTCAATTTCTGTTAAATTTGCATTTCTCTTGTGTTCCTTGCATTTGTCGTGTTTTGTGATTCGTGCATCGTACTTTGTGCATGCCCATGCATTCTTAAACCGCTTCCTTTGCCTGTCGTTGTTGCCGCTATTGCTGCTGCTGCGTAGGCGATGCTGTTACTCCAACAACACGATTAAACGAGCATGCGAACACAACGTACGAACGAATGAACCAGCCAGCGAGCGAGCAACAACGAAAGACAAACGACGACTGCCGAACGAGCACGAAGTTAGTACGCTGGAGCTGGGCTGCTGCTGCTGCGGCTGCTACACCCACACACATGCATGCAAATGTCTCTTTGTATGTTGCTTTTATTTGTATATTTATGTATGTTTGTGTGCATGTATATTACTGCTTGTGTTTGTGCGTGCGTTTGTGTGTGTGTACTCCACTACAACTGCAACTAAAGTGCCGTTCCGTTTGCTGCTGGTCGCTTTTACTTCATTTTTCCTGTCGTTTTGTTATTCCTCGCCTCCAACTGTTTCCTTTATGTGCTGCTGCTGCTTTTTCTTGTTGCGTTTTTGGGTGTAGTCAGTCAGTCAGCCTTGTTGATGTTGTTGTTGTGGTTGTTGCCATTGCCGCTGCTTCGGCTGCTGCTGCTGCGCTGATTGCATTTGATATCCATCTTAAAAACTATCATTTCGAATTGCATTTATATTTGTACACAAATTACACTTAATCTATTTGCATATGCATGTGTGCATCATTTATGTTAGAACCGAAAAAAATAAACAAATAGTACTATTGAGCTACGTAAAAAACACCCGTGCGTAATTTCCACGAACTTCTGTTTGTCGTGCGTTTTTCAGTTAACTGGGGATGTTGATATCACAGCGATACCTATCGATATGGCAGACACTTTGAGATAATTTTATATCACGAAGATATCGTATCTGCTATCAAAATAGATATCGTAAGCTAATCGTTTTTTCAATATAGTAAATAAGATACTTTTGAAAACTCTATCCATTTGTGTATAGGAAATTAAAAACTTGCGAAAGCCACGAGCTCACAGAATAAGTCAAGCTTGAATTGGTCTAATAAGACAAAGTCATGTATCGATAGAAACTACTATATCGTTTTTATAAATTAATCAAAAGTAACCGTCAAATATTATTCCCGCATAAATTTGTTATAAATGTTATGTGCAAATATGAAATACCTATAAAGCAGTAATAGATATAGATGTTAATGTTATGATATAGCCGATACGCTGAGCCTTGTTTAATTCATACATAAATGATTAAGTACAAATTTAATTCAGGTTTTACATGCCAATTAATTTTAAATAGCAATGTTATCGCTATTTCTTTTTCTATTAAGAAAATATAAATGGTATTCTAATTTGAAGCTGCAATCAGAATAGAACGATAAAATTGTAACTGCAATCGCTGCATCCCTGCTTGATAGTTACTTGGCACCACTGTTTGTCGTCAAAATTAAAGCAGTTTTACTATTGGAGCGCACTTGCTCCCTTACAGTGCTGCCAATCAAATTATGGACTTTGCGCGCGCTTTAACCTATCCATTGGAATTTGAATTCTGCAAATAAGTTTATTAACAAAGGCAATATCATCTTATTTTTTGTCACGTTTTTAATTATCATACCGTTTATATTTACTTATTTACATTTATGATTTCAATTTTTCAACTGTCCATGTTTTTTTTTTTTTTTTTTTTTTTTCATTTTTTCTTTCTTAACTCTAAGACTTCGGGCTCCAGTTTTTTTGTCACTTCTGTTTTTTCATCTTTATCTTTTTGTAAAAAACACGCTCTTTTTTTATAATTGTAGTTGCTGCTTAACTATATATTTATATAGTAAGTTGATTTTGTTTGGGCTGATGTTGTTTTGAGTTTCCTGAATTTTCAGAGACGGAAACGGAAGTTTACGAATCGAATCTTAAGTGATTTAACAACATAAACTATTTTATACTTGTTTCATAAGTTGTCGTTTTTTTTTTTTTTTTTTTTGCCTTTTGTTTTTTTTTGCCTAGATAACCGTTATGCAGCGCCAACAAAATATGGTTGCATTTAAAAAATTGTCTAAACAAATGAATCCATTTAACATATATATTATGTATATATATATATATAGTTTTCTTTTTGCGCTATATCTTGGCTTTCTTTTCCTCTTCGTCTCTCTTCCTTAACATGTTCTTTACAATTTCACAACATAATTATTACATAATTATCGTTTAGTTTTCTGTTTTATAAATACGTATGTCAAATATTTATTTATGTTTATAAAAGCGCATCATATATATATATATATATATGAATTAGAAAAAAAAACAACAAAAAAAATTGAAAATACACAAGGCAAATTTACAAATATTTTCTATTGTTGTTTACTTTTTCACATTTCTTCTTTCTATTGTTTTGCTGGAAATTAACGGCTCTTCAAAGTGTTTGTAAGTATTTTATTTACCCGACTGGCTTGATTTTTCTTTTCTTCCTTTTCGTTTTTTTTTTTTTTTAGTTTTATTATAATATATATATAATATGTATAATTTGGGTTCTAAAATTTGACAAATCAACAAAAATTAATTTAAGAGTTAAGTTAAGAAAAAAAAAAATGAAACTAGATAACTAAATTTTATAAGACTTGCGCATCTTGTTCTTCTTCCTCTTCTGCTTATACTTGCTGCTGTTCATGTTGACCAGAGCGCAGGCTCATAGGAAAACAAAAACTTATATATGTATATATATTATATAATGATGATTTCCAAAAAGTTCATTTCCGTCAATCCGTTCTATTTGTTGTTGTTGTTTATTAGTAGTAGTGTTGTAAACTGTTTGCAGTCTGTCGTTCTGCTAAGTCGTCTGATCTTCAACTATCGTTGCATTGCAGCTCTCCTCTCTAGTTCAGTCGGCAGCGCTGCGGCGGCGCACCAACTTGTAGCGACTGCGACGCATGTGCGGCGATGCTGGAGAGACTACTCCAGCGACGTCGACATTGCTACTGGTGGTGCTGCTGCTATCGATATTGTTGTTGTTGTTATTATTACGGCTAATGCTGGCAGTGCAGTTTATTTTGCGCATAGGTCGTTTGCTCAGTAAGCTGCCTTTGTACGATCTGGCAACACTAGCTGTCGCTACTGTGGTTGTTGCTGCTTCCGCCGCTGCTTCTGCTGTCGCTGTTGTTGCCGATGTGGGGCTGCGCACAAAGCGATATTTGTTGAGTAGTCTTTGTTTTTGTTGCTGCTGTCGCCGTTGCTGCGGCTCATTGGAAAATGGCTGCTGGCGCTCGTGCAGCCGGCTGCTGCGTCGCTGCAAGCTGAGCTTCGCCATTAGCGCTTGCTGTCCAGGTGAGCAGCTCACTGTCGTCCCTGTCGTCGTCCTGTGTACTTCCTCTTCTTGCTGCTGCTGCTGTTGCTGCTCACCGTCACAAGTTGTCGTCGTTGTGTTGCTGTCGTTGTGCCTCAGTTGCTGCCGTTCCGATGCCATATTTCCACTTTCACATCCCCGTCCCTGTCCTACTGTTGTCAATTGTTGTCCCGTGGTGTTATCGTTGGCGTTGGCGGCTGCTACTGTTGCTGCGCCCATTTCCATTTCTACCGAGGCGGTAGTCGACGCGCCGTGGCGCGCATCTTCCGGCGAGGATTCTGCATGGGACCGCCAGCATTTGGTGGTGGATTGAAACTGAGAAAAAGAATTGGGATTAGTTCAGGATGATCCCCAAACACTCGTACGCCGCTTGCATACAGTAATGCAGAGAGCAGAAGAGCAGGAGAAACAGAGAGCGAGAGAGAGAGGGAGCAAATATGCAGCATAGCCATTTTGAGTAAACGAGAGCTTTTTGCTTTGCTGCATTCTATTGCATACGCGCACACATACGCACACACATATATATATTTAGTTAGGGACATGACACACTCACACAGGAATGATCAACATATGGCACAAACACATTTACAAATTGTATGTGCGAAATAATACAAATATTTTTTTATTTTATTCTTTTTTTGTTAAATGGGTAACATAAAAGTGCCTTACAAAATTATTTAAAACGAATGCAATGCAAAAACTTGTAAATGTTAATATAATGCATATGTTATTGTTTGTGTAAGTATTCAATTATTTTGTGTGTCTGTGTCTGTGTTTGTTTGTTTGCATACATATTTATGTGCGCGTGTATGTACGTGTGTTTCAATTCAACATTAGGCCAAATTAAACAAAAACACTCTCTTTTTCTTCCGTTCTAACACACATTTTCTGCTCACTCTGATCTGTTTTGCAGCAGCTGTGTCACTCTTGCCATCTCTGTCACACTACTTACGCGAATATATTGGATGACGCGGGCGAACCGGCATTAAATTGGAACGGTGCGGCGCTTGGCGTTGACTGCAAAAAGATATTTGAATAGGTAGAAGGGGAGTTTTCGTTTTTAAAGCGTTCTTTGATAATTTTAATAATTCCTTCTTTTTTTTTTTAATAATTCAATTTTGTTGTGTGTACGTGAGCGCAAATGAAAAGGTCAAAGAAAAAATGCAAATAAATTTGCATATCTTCTTTTCAGTTAACAGTTTGCACATCATTTGTTGCTGTTCAACATTGTTTGGGATATTTTATGGGATTATTTTTTTTTTTTTTGTATGTATGTATATAGTGGGTATGTACATATGTTTATGTGAAATTATGTGATTGTCTTACTTTAACAAAAGCTTTGAATAAAGAAAAAGCTGTAAATGTAAGAATGTAATGTTTTGTGTTCGTGTGAGCGTAAGAGAGTGAGGGGAAATGGGAATTTGAGAGAGAGAATTTGATGTGTAAATGTTATGTTAATTGTGAAAAAGCCTTTTTGTTTTTAGTGCTTGTCGGCAGATCATCATGCGGAGATGAGAGGATTAGAACCCACACCAACGAGATTCATACACATACATTAGGAAATAATTGATATGATAATAGTGTGCAGTTTAAGAAGCACTGCTCTGACTGGATACAAAACCATGCGAAGTGAGAAATGATATTATATTAAATTAAAATATCCTTTACAAATGTTAAACTAAATACTTCTACAATACATCATAATAAATTTACATATTAATTAATACATATTAAATATGGATATTTAGTGTTACAAATATATATTATATAAAGGTATCGAATTACAGTCCACTTTATTTTTTCTTTTTGTTTACCTGCATGGGCTGCGCTGTGGCGGTAAAATTGAACATTTGATTATTGGTTGCTGGCATCATGGAGGATGATGCTCCAGCATCCGTTGATGGCCCAGTAGCCCCGAACTGGAAAAGTCGTTCCGATCTTACTGACTTCAATAGGCCAACCCCGTTCAAATAGTGGTAATAGTTGGAGTAGTAGCAGTAGGTGGCATTAATTGGTAGTAGTAGCAGCACAGCACAGTACAGCGCAGTAGCAGTAGTAGTAGTAGTAGTAGGTAGTAGTAATAGTAGTAGATAGTAGTATATGACAGCAAAATTATAGTGAATTCGTGCCCGTTCCACGTCCCCGCAAATTGGGTATATACGTTTTACATAATTTTTAGCGGGTTGGGTTTGGAGGGAGATAGTACAATTGAATACATTTGATTTGTTTAGGTTTTTTTTCGGGGATTTTCCAACAGTACATAGAGATAGAGAGAGCCGGACAACAATCAACAGATGAAAGAAGAGAAATAAAAAATAAAGACAAGAAGAAAAATAATATAAGTACAAAATGAAAATATTATGTTTATATTTGTGACTAAAATTATGGCGTGAATGCATGTGCCATCGATAAATATCGATAACAGAAACAGACACGCACAATTAACGACATTTAACAACACTGCCGCAAATGCATGCACATTAATTGTAGATGATCAAACGTAATCAAATAATAAAAAGAACAGCCGCTAAAAGCAACAATAGAAAATTGCAAAAATATATATTTATATAGATATCTAGATATATATAAATATACATCTAGATTGTGTTTCCTTTAAACCATTTACTACAAGTGTTGCTTGGCTGAAGCTGATTAATGTATATGACTTCTATTCTGTTCTTTTGTTAAATGTTGTTAGTGTGTTTAGAAACTTACATCGCGGTTGCCCGCATTACCAGCAGTTGCTGTATTCGCTGAGAAGTTAAATGCCGGCGTCTGTGGTGCAACGTCCGTAAAGTTGAACGCAGGCTTTGGCAGCGCGCTGCTGCCGCCAGCAGCGCCAGCGGCGGCGGCATTCGAGCCGAAATTGAATACGCCACCTGCAGGCTGTTTAAGGCAAACACAAGGAATGGCAATTAAATTGGTGTACAAATTGAAATAAATTCTAGTTCACTTACCGTAGTGGCTGGAGTGAAATTAAATGCCATTTTTGGTGCTGTTGCTCCCGTTGGTGGTGGTGCTGCTGTTGCTCCTGCTCCAGTCGCTGGTTTCTGAGTGCTGTTGCCGGCGCCAAATATGTTTGTTAACGGCGAGGTGATGCTGCTGGTGCCGATGCTATTTGCTACTCCGCCAGTGTTCGAACTGAACGGACTGTTCACATTGCCAAAGAGCGTGGAGATGGGTCCGTTGCCAGCATTTGGCTGAGCCGTTGATGATCCAGCTCCTGCAGTTGCTGCTGCCCCGAATGGCGAACTAGTCGACGGCGGTTGCATAGCATTTGTGGTTTTTGTTGCTGCAGTGTTGCTGCCAAACAGATTGTTGCTGATGCCGCTGCCGCTGCCAAAAATGTGCAACGGTGCAGCTGCTGCAGCACTTGTGGCAGGACTATTGGCAAAAGGAGTTGCGGCTGAAAATGGTGTTGCTGCCTTCGATGTTGTTGCTGCTGCTGTGGGCCAACCAAAGCTGCTCAGCGTAGCTGCTGTTGATGTTGTCGCAGCTGCTGTATTGTTGCCAGTAGCTAACGATGTTGCTGTTGGCTTGGGACCACCAAAACTAAATGTTGGCGAGCTGGTAAAGCTGCTGCTGCTGCTGCCGATGTTGTTGTTGCTGTTCGCATTAGCATTGGCGTTCATGTTGCTGGCGCTGCCAAAGGTGAACAGCGGCGTTGTGTTGCTGCTGGTCGGTGCATTGCTGCTCTTGGCGGCTCCAATGGAGCCAAAGATGTTGCTGCCAGCTGCTGTTGGCGCGCCAATTGTTGCTGCTGTCGTTGTTGTTGTTGCTGCTGGCGAACCAAAAAAGAATGTTTTGGTGGTGTTGTTGTTGCTGCTGCTGCTGCTGCTACTGCTGTTGGTGCTGCTGCTGACCACAGTTGCTGCTGTTGTTTTTGCAGCTCCGAGACTGCCAAAGGTAAATGTTGGCGCCGTAGAGCCTGACGCAAAGCCAGCCGCTGTAGTAACTGTTGCTGTTGATGGTGATGCAAAGCTAGCTATCGATGTTACTGTTGCAGCTATTGTTGGTGTCTGTGACCCAAAGAGCACCGATGTTGTTTTTGTTCCAGCTGCTGCCAGCGGCGTTGCGCTACTACTGCTGCTGCTAACGACATTATTGTTGTTGTTGTTGTTGCTGCCGAAGGTGAACATTGGTGTTGTTGCTGGTTTAAAGCTGCTGTTATTGATGTTGCTGCTGCTGCTGCTGCTGCTGCTGGAGACGACAGCAAGTGGCGTAAAGCCGCCCAAAGTGAACAAATTGCTGGTAACCGGCTTTGAGGTTGCCGCTGCGCTTGTTGTTGTTGATGTTGTTGCTGCAGTGCTACTCATGCTGCTGCCAAATGCAAATATTGGTGCTGCTGCTGCTGTTGTTGTTGTTGCTGTTGGCGCCACCGACACAGTTGTTGCCGTAAACAAGCCTAGGCCGCTGCTGCTTGTTGCTGTTAAAGCAGTGCTCGCTTTTGGCGCGGCTAACGACAACTGTTGCTGCTGTGGTGCTGCTGTTGCTGTTGCTGCTGGTGCTGGTGCTGGTGCTGGTGGGGCACCAAATGTAAAGCCAAGTGTTTTAGCAGCTGTTGTTGGAGCGCCAAATTTAAAGGTATTTAGGCTTGCAGTTGTTGTTGTGGTGGTAGCTGCTGCTGCTGCCGTTGTTGCTGTCGTCGTTGTTGCTGCTGGTTCCGACGTTGTTGTTGTTTGAGGCTTGTTGCTATCGGCCACATCCTTGCCAGCTGTTGCTGCTGCTGCTGCTGCTGCAAAACCAAATGTGAACGACGAGGTAGCTGGTGCGAAACTTGTTGCTGTGCCTGACGTGCTTATTGCAGCAGCAGATGTTGTTGGTGTTGTTGCTGCTGCTGTCGATTTAGCTGGAAAGCCGAACATAAACTTGGGCACCGCTGCCGTGCCGACTGCTTCCGCCGTAGCACCCGGCTTCTGTTGCTCACAGCAAATGCATTTGTTGCGGCTCACATCGTTCTGCGTCATGCAGGCCTCGCAACTCCAGGTGCTCGACTTTTGGGCTTTGATCAGTTGCTGGAAGCCAGCATCTGGTTTCGGCGGCTCAGCATTTCCGGCACTGGCAAAACCAAATTTAAAGCTGCTGCTGCTGTTGTTGGTGGTGCTGGCAGCGGTGCTGTTGCTCTTGGGATTTGGTGTCAGACAGGCAGGACATTCCTTAACAGTAGCCGGACTTAGGATCATGCAACTGCTGCATTCCCACATATTGGACGGACGCTTGAAGGCATCCCCAAAGCCCATGGGAAAGCTGTTGTTGCTGTTGTTGTTGCTGCTGGCAAAGCTGCTGCTACTGTTGCTAACACTATTGCTGCCCGCAATATTGGAGACGCTCACTGAGCAGGCATTGCTGCTCGTTTTGCGCGGCGTCTCGCACGCAATGCACTTGCTATGCTCATCCTTGTTCGACAACATGCACGCATTGCACTCCCAATTGTTGCTCGGTTGCTTGAATCGATCCCCAAAGCCGCTGAAGCCGAGTGTTGCTGCTGGCATAGCAGTTGCTGCTGTTGATGTTGTAGTTGCTGATGTTGCTGTTGCTGATGTTGCTGCTGCTGTCTTTGCGTTCGGCTTTGGTGTTTCGCAGGCAACACATTTTTGCAACTCCTCCTTGTTGCGCAACATGCACGCCCCGCACTCCCATTCGCTGGCGGATTTCTGGAACTGATCACCAAATCCAAATGTTGCTGTCGGCTTGGGCAATTGATAATCATTGCTTTTGCTGTTCTTGGTAGTGTTGTTGTTGCTGCTGCTGCTGCTACTACTGGTGGTTGTTGTTGTCGATTCACCATTGAACTGCAACGCTTTTGGTGCAGCACTCTGATTCGGCGCATCCAATGGAAGGGGCTCCGAGAATTTATATGCTGTTTGCTTTGCGCGTTTTTGGAGTGGTGATGACTCCTCGGTAGGATTGGCGCATACAACTGGAATCGGTGATGCAAATTGAAAACGACGGCGACGATTGTTGCTACTGCTACCGTTGTTGCCGTTGTTGAGCTTGGGCAACTTCTGTTGCTGAGCGACTGAAGTTGTTGCTGGTCCACCCGGCGGTGCAATAATCAAATCGAATTTCGGTTCATTGGCCATCATCGGGAAACGAATATTGGGCAAATCGATTGGCGCTGGCGGCATCTGTTGCTCCTCTGCACTGCGCGCATCCTTGCGCACCTGATGAGATAGACGTGAACGCATCTTATTCGTATGATTCTGGGTCCCCGAGCCCGAGTTCGTTGATTTGTTGCTATTATTGAAACTGTTTGGTGTCGCATTTGCAGGCTGTTGCTGCAGCTGCTGCTGCTGCTGTTGCTGTTGCTGCTGTGACTGTGGGCGATGATGCAGCCTCTGTTGCTCCTCCAGCTGCATGGAATCGACCAAAGTACGTGTACTTCCCGAGACACGAGTCAAGCGACGACGCTCAAGCAATTGCAACATGGTCGGCACCAACAGATTAGCCTTGCATTCCAAATCGGCAGCGGTGCTGTTGCGGCTGTTGCAGATGGTGATGTTGTTGCCGGTGCCAGCAAGCGAATGATTTGGATAGGCGTACGGTTTGTTGCTATGGTTGTTGCAGCTGATGTTGTTCTTGATGCTGGCATTGTTTAAATTTCTAGAGGTCCGCTGCATCTTAAGTTCACGCAACGTGCTGCCCATTTTCTTGGCATCCATTAGAGGCGTTCGATGATTCTCAAGCAGATTGAGTATACGTTGAGCTGTCTGCGACAGGCCAGGCATATTGTGCCCGCTGCTGTCCTTGGCACCGCCTATTGAAGAGAGATTGGCACGGGGACGCATGTCGACGGGCTTCATGCCGTAGCTGCCAATGCTGCCGCCAATTGTATGATGGCGTCCCAAGAACAATTGCTGATTGCTGTTGCTGCAAACGCTATCGCTATTCGATGCCGCCGGCGAGCTGCCACCAGAATTGATAATGTTTGTCAAATTGCCTTGGCTAAAGCAACGATTGTTTGCCGAACTGCCGCCAAAAGCGGTGGGTCCCTGATAGAATGGTGAGTTCCCAGTTAGGATACTGTTACTGTTGCTGCTGGTAGTGCTTAACAGTCGGCTATCGCTCAATGCCGATGTGCTGCCATATATGGAGGCATTGAAACGGCGACGATTATTCAATGAGTTGAGCGATAATGTTGAATTATGATGAAGTTGATTCTGGTGCAGCATTGATGACGCCACATTTTGATTGAATACCGATTTGCGGCTCTGTAAATTGCCATAAAATAACGAGTTGCTATTGCTATTGTTATTCTGTTTGATGATGTTGTTGTAGCTGCTGATGTTGTTGTTGTTGTGCATACGTCCAGCCGCTGCCTGGCTCTCATTACTCTCGCATTCAGATTGCAAATCTGTGCTACGTTTAGTTAATTTTATAGTGTTATTGTTATTATTGTTTGCCTGCTGCTGCTGCTGCTGCTCCTCATTGGGTGCCTCCTCGTTGATGGTCTGATAGCTGCGCCAGTTGGTCGTCAGCCCGCGATGACCCAGCAGCGATTGTCGCTTGTAGCTGGGCAGCGCCGTCTCGCGGCGTTCAGTCATTGGCGCAATATTCAACGAGCGTCGCGAGCTACATCAATGGAAGATGAAAGATTATGAGAGATTAGCATTTGACATATCGATTTCGATTGGATTTGCGATTGCGATATAGGACGAAGGCTTACCTCATTGGCAAATCACCGCTGGTGGCAACAGCTGCTTCGTTGATGATGTTGGTGTTGCCGATGTTGCTGCTGCTGCCACCGGCCGAGGTGGACATGAAATTGTAGGCGGGCTCGCGCTGACGCTGATTTCCGTACAGGTTCAAATGCGTCGAGAAGCGATGAGGTGTCATATGGCTGCGCACTGCGTCGCTAATAGCGGGCGTCGAGGAAAGCAGCTGTGGGGGACGACGTTGTTGGGCGCTGAACTGAGGGCTAAACGAAGTTTCAGTCGGCTGCAAACAGAGCAAAGGAAAGTCAATTAAGAGCTATCGAGAGATGTGCTAATACAATACAATGATAACTCTATAGATTAATAGTATTGCCATATTATCTGATATCGATTAGCTAAGCAAAACGGCAGGATTTGCGAAGTTATCGAGAGCAAAGGATATGGTAAAGCAAATTATAATCATCATAGTCTATAAAAATAAGTGCTATCAAATAATGATCGACTTGCTCGATAAGTTAATGCTATCGATTATAAATTGCTAAGCTAAATGAAATAAAGAATTAGCTATTAAGGCATATAAATGGGGAATTAAGCTATACCTATTCAGTTAGCTCTGCATCAAAGTGTGACAGATATCGATAACTTACCTCAATACGCTTGCGTTTTTGTAGCGGCTGTGCCGCACTACTGCGATAATTAACACTGCGATTTGCCTGCTGCATTCGATAGTTATTCTGCTGTGTGCCCTCATCGAGCTCATCGTCGTCCTCGTCCTCGCCCTCCTCATCCTCATCATCGTCGTCGTCGTCGTCGTCACTGGCTATCAATTGACGTTTACGCAGCAGGCTAACATTATATTCATTGCGACGCGTCTGCTCATCCTCGCCGGCCAGATCATGTTCAGCTATATTATCGGCCAGCTGGACTTCCTCTTCATTCAGATCCTGCGCACTGGTACCGTCATCAACGGCATTATCACCAGCATCATCAGCTTCCAGCTGTATGCGACGACGACTGCGCTTCGGTTTGAATTCTGTGGTCAGCAAGGCGCTGCCATTGAGCTGAGCCGTTGACTGTTGGGACTGCGACTGCGACGGTGAGTTTGATGTTGAGGATTCTTGTTCCGTGGCATTGTTATTTACATTAGCAGCAGCACTGGGTGAGAACCATTTGCTCAGCGAATCAGGAAGTATGCTAGACACGCGTAATTTTACTTTGCCCATGATGGACTAGAGAATTGAGATGGTGGACAAAGATTAGAATCGGAGGCAAAGGCGAATGCAAAAGCAGCTACCGCTGCAGCTGTACTCACATTATTATTGCTGTTGGTTTTGCTGCCGCTGCCGCTGCTACTGCTACTGCTGGTGTTATTGTTGTTAGCGGCTTCATTAGTAAGTCTTAGTGGAGTGCGCGGCGTTTGAGTTAGTTGTTGTTGCTGTTCTTCTTGTGGTTGTTGTTGGCCATCCTCAAATGCGGACATCATTGGATTTTAGCCGGCCCCCCGTCCACGCACAAAATGCAACACTGCACACAAGCATACAATCGCACGCCAAACTGAATAGAAGAGAATAAAGCTAAAATTAAAGATGGTCACACTGTTGCAATTCCGCGTGAGCGTCTCCTTATGCGTGTGTGTTTGTGTGTTCAATGCGAGTTTTGTGTACGTGTGTATTTCTGCTGCATGTGTGTGTGCGTGTGAGTGTCACTATGGGATTCCAACACACGCGGCGCTCTCTTGTCTACTACACGACTCAATTTTTTTTAGCGGTTTCTGATTCTGGACCAACTCCAGTTTGCACTTTGGCGCCATGATCGCCAAGTATTTTATGTTTCAATTTTCTTTTTTGCTTTTTTAGTTTCGTTAATTTTGTTTAACACATAAAGCGCTTGGCCTTGCTATGCGTACGAACGAGCATTTTGTTGCTTGAACTATTTATAACGAGTTCTGATTTTTTTTTCTATGTTTTTTTTAGTAACTAATTTGTCAACTCATTTTTTACTTGATTTGGTACTTATTTATATACTTATGTATATAATGCGAGCCACGCAGCCGTTTGCACACATACACTTACCCCTCCCCTCCCCGAGCAATGATGGGCTGTTATTACTTTATTAGCGCATTTCACGCCGCGCGCCTCTTTTGTATGTTTTACGCAGTCTTTGGGCTCTCGTCTCCGCTTTTTTTTTTTTTATTGCTAAACGTAGAATTATGTCTTTTCCTCTTTTTTTTTCTTCTTGCTTTTTTGCTCTTTCGCAATTCGTAGTTTTTTTTTATTGCACACACACAAACACTCACACACACTTAAACTGACATCAACGTCGCGTTGCGGTCGAACTGTGCGTCGCCGTCGTACTTTGCATTCGGCCCAACAAAAAAAAACGCACAACTCACGTACTCAATTTAATTTATGAGCGCACAAAGCTAGGGCATTAGATGCATTTGTCATTTGTTGACCAGCACATATATATCGCGAATTGATTGCTTAACTGATTGAATAGTTTAATTCGCACACTAAAAAATAAACTGAGAGCGAAAAAAAGCACGATTTGGAAAACGCGTGTGTGCCAGGGGCAACGAGTAGCGGATAGAAATTGAACGAGTGACGAGTGACGAGAAATAAAATGGCGCCGATATCTCTGTGTGCGACAATTCACGTTTGCTGCAATAACCATTAGTGCTGTAAATCTTACCAACTATCGTCAGAAGGCGCGGTTCGACTATTTCAAAAAGTTTGCATTTGAGTATAAAATGGTTTGCCAAATATAATTTTGATGTAAGTATAAGCAATTCATAAAAGGTTGAAAACGCGCTAGATAACTTTCTGTCATGTACATATACAATTTGCTCACACGCCGATAAGTATTGCACAATATACAATTAAGATTTTTAATAATTTGCTTGATTTATAAATAAAAATTTTTAGAAATGTGTTCCTCACAGAACGTTGTTTACTAATGTAATGAATATATATTTAAGCAGTTTATGTAGCTATACGCCTACTATGATGTAATCGATAGTTCCTGACAGAACACGCTAATATAACTTGAGCAGCAAATGCTCACTTATATCGATAAGCTCTTGCATCTTGCATTGCGTAAATCGATAGAACGATTTATTTCATACGATCTTGAGATTTATATTTTTGGTCACTTACCGTTGCGCGCGTTGTCAGCTCGGTCGTTGTCAGCTCTTAATCCTATTTTTGTACTCGCAATTCCATCCAAGATGTCCAAGCCCGCGTACAAAGTTGGTGAGTTATAAATAAAACCAGCGCATTCTAATACCGGCAAATTTGGCCACACGGACGCACACATGCTGTTTTTTTTCATTTTTTTTATGCATGCGCACATGTTGCTAGAGGTTAAAGCACGTTGTGCTAATCGTTGTTTATATTGTGTGCCGATTGTATCTTATCTCTGTTTGTCTTCTAGCCGATATCAGTTTGGCTGAATGGGGCCGCAAAGCGATTATCATTGCGGAGAACGAGATGCCCGGCCTGATGGCATGCCGCAAGAAGTACGGCCCATCGAAAATCCTAAAGGGCGCCCGTATCACCGGCTGCCTCCACATGACCGTACAAACGGCCGTGCTGATCGAGACCCTCGTTGAGCTGGGTGCTCAGGTAAGTCAAGAATCTCTTCTAGCTCTGTTACTATGTGCCCGTAGTCCTTATCACAAATTGAACGAAATAACAATACCGAAATTTCTATTTTCTCGCTTGGGGGTCACGCGTGAGTTCAAGGCGCCAACACTGATAGCAAACAAACAAAAAATACAAATAATCTCTAGAAGGGATCACCAGGGGGTCACAGCACAAGAACCCATTGATATGCTAAGTTGTTTACTTCCATATGTAAATTAGAATGCGAAGGCATGTTCAGATCCTAATCAAGATTTGCTTTGTCAACAATTTCATTTCCTTTGCACAATCAGTTCTTGATGATTTCGTCACAAAATATGGAAGGTTAGCCATATTAGCAGCCTTAAGCTAGGTCTTCCACTAGATGAACAATTGGTTCAAATATTCCTTCTCTCCACTAGGTGCAATGGTCGAGCTGCAATATTTTCAGCACACAGGATCATGCAGCGGCGGCAATCGCTGCCACTGGAGTCCCAGTGTATGCATGGAAGGGTGAAACCGATGAGGAGTACACGTGGTGCATTGAACAGACGCTCGTCTTCCCCGATGGCCAGCCCCTGAACATGATCCTGGATGACGGCGGTGATCTGACCAATTTGGTGCATGAGCGTTTCCCCGACTATCTGAAGGGCATCAAGGGTCTGAGCGAGGAGACAACCACCGGAGTGCACAATCTGTACAAAATGTTCAAGGAGGGACGATTGGGCGTGCCAGCGATCAATGTCAACGATTCGGTGACCAAGGTAAAACATCTTTTGCAGTGACTTGATGTACATAGTTCATCCATCATCCATCTCCCTCTGTCTTCCTCTATTCTATCCAGAGCAAATTCGATAATCTCTATGGCTGCCGTGAGTCTCTAATTGATGGCATCAAGCGTGCCACGGACGTCATGATTGCGGGCAAGGTTTGTTGTGTGGCTGGCTACGGAGATGTGGGCAAAGGCTGTGCCCAAGCCCTGAAAGGATTCGGCGGTCGCGTTATCATCACCGAAATCGATCCTATTAACGCGCTGCAGGCAGCCATGGAGGGTTACGAGGTGACCACCATGGAGGAAGCCAGCAAGGAGGCTTCCATCTATGTGACCACCACCGGTTGCCGGGACATTATCACATCGGTGCATCTGCTCAATATGCCCGACGATTCGATTGTGTGCAACATTGGACATTTCGACTGTGAGATCGATGTCGATTGGCTGAACAAGAATGCCACGGAGAAGGTGAATGTTAAGCCGCAGGTGGACCGCTATACCATGCCCAACGGCAAGCACATTATCCTGTTGGCTGAGGGTCGTTTGGTTAATCTGGGTTGCGCCCATGGACATCCCAGTTTTGTGATGTCTAACTCGTTCACCAACCAGGTGCTCGCCCAGATTGAGCTCTGGACCAAGTCCAGCCAATACACAGTCGGTGTGCATGTCCTGCCCAAGCTGCTGGACGAGGAGGTGGCCAGCCTGCATCTGGATAAACTGGGAGTGAAACTCACCAAGCTGACGGACAAGCAGGCCAATTATTTGGGGGTGCCCAAGACAGGACCCTTCAAACCCGATCACTATAGATACTAAACCACACCCCTCACTCCCCGCTGACAGCCGTTTGCGATGGTGTTTTATATACATTTCGGCATTTATCCTAAATTCCAATAAAAACCAAAACCTCATTGAATTTAATCGTTTTCTAATCAAATTTTATGACATTTCACATACATAGGTTTCTTCCCTAGAATCTAGAATGTGATTAAAAACTATTTAACTCTCACACATAATATTTAATGAAATTCTACTGTAATTTTAGTATTTTTCACAAAGATTTCTTTAAAGATTATTCCAAGTAGCTTTATAAAAATCTAGAATATTCATTTGTAGAGCCTGCGTAATTAAACTTATTTTTTCTTAACTTTTTTTTTTCTTCAAACATATTTTAATATAAAATATGGCAAGTTGAAATTGACACTAGTTTAAAAATAATTTATACCTAAATTCAAGCTTAAATTTTGCATTTTTATAATACTGACTCTATACTCAATTTGATCAGTGTTAATTAAACTCAAAAAGCTCTTCGAAACAAACGGCGCTTAAAGTGGCAGATCGGCTTACTATGCACTCTCCCTCTTTCTCTCTTCTGCACTCCGTGATCAACATTTCATACACACACACACGCAAGCTGTTTTAGCATGCAAGCTCACACACACATACAGTCACTTCTGCTTACTAGCAAGCGTATGCTCACACACCACTACATTTGCATTCCAGAGAGTACACAACCTGTATGAATGTAACTGTTATTACTCTTTATGTATGCGCGGTTGGCTTTGTGCTCTGCAAGGGCGTAGACGAAAGGGGTTACAGGCTTTGTCACAATCTACAAAATTATAAGACATTTATTATATTATTTCCAGAGAAGAGTATTTTTTTGAAAGATAATGAGCATAAGTCAATATCGCAATCAGGGTTCTCTGCCTACGCACAAGACGCTATCTGCTATCTGTTGTTGTGATTCTGTATGCTTAGCACGCTCTCTCATAGTCAGCAAGAGTAGTTTGAGCTGTTTCACACTTCATCTAACTAGCTCTCTTTCTCGCTGCCTCTCTTTTTTTCTCTGTGCCGCACTTTGTTAGTGTCATTTACGTTTTTCGTTGTAAATAACTGCACAGACTTTCATTGCAGTGGCAACATACACACGGCACATTTGGTGTTCCTCTGTTCATAATTCATTGGCGACTTGTTGAGTGCGCGATTACGAAATAAGATTCGTTTGCATTGCAATTCATTATTGGATTGCAATGTCTATCGGAAACGTTTGCCTGTTTATGGCATTGATGCTGGGCCAACAGGTGCTGCCCAGCGTCAGTTGGCAGGCGCATTTTGAGCCTGCGCTGCTGCAACTGGAAATGGAGCGCAGCCACACAGTGCATTTGACACTGTCCGACATAACAGATGATCTGCAGCTGATGACAGATCGCTACAGCTTCCGGCTGCAAAGTACGCACGCTCAGTTGGTCAGTGTGCCTGCCGTGAATTCAAGCATCTTCATGGAGGACGTGCAGCACAATCAGTGGAATGGCAGTATACGCATCGATGCATACTTTCTCGGCGAGGCCCGAATCCAGGTGCGGCTCTATGACGCAACCAAAAACACCAGCTCAGCGCCCCAAAATGCCGGCAGCAATGATAGCACACTGATGGTGCAGGTGGTGCGACCAGAGCGGATCATCGATCACGTTTTCGTCGGCTCCATCATTCTGCTCATGTCGCTGGTCTACATTAATTTTGGCGCTGCACTCAATGTGGACGTCCTGCAAGGCTTGATCACACGCCCAGTTGGACCTTGCATTGGTTTCATCACCCAGGTTCTGGGTATGCCGCTTCTTAGCTATGCCCTGGGCGTCTTCATTTTTCCCGACTCATCGGCCATGCAGCTGGGCCTGTTCTTTACGGGCATCGCCCCGAGCGGCGGTGCATCCAACACTTGGTCGGCGGTGCTCAGCGCGAATATCAATCTCTCTGTGCTAATGACCACTGTTAGTAATGTGGCCGCCTTTGCCACAATGCCGCTCTGGGTCTTTACGCTGGGTCAGCTAATCTTCGAGCGCGCTGGCATGGTGCTGCCTTACGGCAAGATTGCCAGTTACTGTGCAGCCCTGATTGTGCCGTTGTTAATTGGGCTGGCCATCCAGCGTTGGCTGCCGCGCGTGACCCAGGTGCTGGTGCGTCTGCTGAAGCCCATCTCTGCATGCCTTATACTCTTTATTGTGATCTTTGCCATCATCACGAACTACTATCTGTTCCAGCTGTTCTCCTGGCAGGTAAGTGGCCTGACTGATCTATATAAATCGAATCGCAACCAATTCTCCTCGTCTACAGATCGCCTTGGCTGGTTTGGCGCTTCCTGGACTTGGCTACACAGTCGCCTGGCTGGCGGCCAAGCTGTTGAATCAAAGTGCTTCGGATTCATTGACT